AAATGTCTTAATAATAGTAGCTAAATTTCAATAGCTGAATCAAACTTAGCTGTAAGAGTTATCGCCTTAGTGTCATTGCTAAGTTCTGGCTATTATACAGATAAAAAACATTCACTGTGACAAAAAAATTTATTAACTGAAATTAAAAGCTGCATATATATTAGTACAGGCAGCTTGGCATGCGTACCTAAATGTCTCATCATGCACACATTTAGCACAGAGAGCTAAATTTATATATAGCTACGCGCAAAAATTGGATTTGTAATTGTTTTTGCAATGTGGCACTGCCATGTGCACATCTATACAGCGCATTTAGCATTTATATTTTGCAGTATATATAAGTTGTATACTGCAAATATTATCTATTGTGAAGATAAAATAGCATATTAGATTCGGCTAAATATGATTTGATTTTAGTAGCAAATATTTTTGCTGTAGCATCTACATTTTAATCACTAATAAATTGAACTTCGGCAACAACGATTATAGCTGTCCCTATTTCATCGACACATCTTAACTGCCTTAGCTATATTTTAGCTTCATTGGCTAATCGTTTTTCTGCGTGTATATCATATAATGCTTTCTTATCGAAATCGTGTTTGTATGTGGTTTCGAGAAAACGCGCTGTACGACGGGTGGCACCGGACTGGCACGCTGTACGACGGTGTATATACATACAGGCGCTCGCCGTACTAATGGCGCGTGCACTTGTGCGGCGCCCGCCGTACTAATGGCGCGTGCACTTGTGCGGCACCCGCCGTACTAATGGCGTGTGCACTTGTGCGGCGCGGCAGCGTCACTACAATTAGCATTAATTATTTTGCATAGGAAGCTGCTGTGATTGACTGAAGATTAGCAAGGTAGAATAGGTAAAAATTTTAAGTATTCTTTGATGTATAATTAGAATAATAAATAAGATTTAATTTCAATTTTACACTGTTAAATCTATACACCGAGAGAACAATATAATTGGAATAACCATAATTTAACTATAATTTATAGTGAATTTCGGAGACAACTATAAAATTATAATCAATTTAATTATGCAAATTAGAGCTGCTTTAACAATCCATTATGGTTATACATTGTGATTGATGTTTTTATTTTTTCACTTACTTATTTTTTAGTTATTACAATATAAATAGTAAGCAAATGTAATTTAAAAAATAGTTATACTTATTATAATTGCAGTTGCATTTACTACATCAAAATATTTATTTCATTTGTCACACATGGACACTCACGGAAAACAATTTTACAGACTTATATTTAATTAACAAAGACGATCGCGAGCTCCGAAACGCTATCGTTTAAATGGGCGCGAGATATTTCTCAATTTTATGATTAATTAATTACAACGTTCACGATATCCGGAATTTGGTCGTTTAAATGGGTACGAGAAATTCAACAGTTTTATTTATAATTAACAAAGATAATCGCGAGCCCCGAAACGTGATCGTTTAAATAGGTGCTAGATATTTAACAATTTTATTATTAATTAATTAGAACGTTGGCTATACTCGAAAAGTGTTCGTTTATATAAGCGCGGAAATTTTACAGTCTTATAATTAATTAACAAAGACGATCGCGAGCTCCGAAACGTGATCGTTTAAATAAGCGCGAGATATTTAACAATTTTATTATTAAGTAGTTATCACGTTTACGGTATTCGGAAAGTGGTCGTTTAAATGGGCGCGAGAAATTCAACAGTCTTATATTTAATTAACAAAGACAATCGCGAGCTCCGAAACGCGATCGTTTAAATTGGCGCGAGATATTTATCAATTTTATTATTAAGTAATTTTCACGTTTACGGTATCCGGAAAGTGGTAGTTTAAATGGGCGCGAGAAATTCAACAATTTAATTTTTTGTTATCCAAAACTTTCACAAGTCCCGGCACGTGGTTATTTAAATATCGCGAAAAGTTTTACAATTTTATTAATTAATAAAGATGGAACACAATTCCCGACGCGGTTTAAATAAGCGGAACACGGAGAAAGTTTATCAATCAACGAAGTGTCTCAATTGCCAACGGTTTAATTCGCGCCTTTACACGAAATCTCATTGTATTTGTCTAAATATTTTATTGTTATTCCGTTGGTCTGTTTAGTTTTGTTATTTTAATATTGTAGATTTTTCTTCAATCTTTAATAAGATTGAACCAATTCCCTGTAGCCCCTTCACGCATTTAAAGTGTCCTTTGTAAGCTTTTCCGTGCTTTTGCAGTGCCACCTCCTACTAACACGGGTGCTTTAAATTTATATTTTATTCACAGAAAGAAATATGTGTTAGACACTACACAAAATTATTCTCATGCGTCACATGCATTTATGAATATGAATTTAAGCATGCAGTATACACGACCGTATTTAAAAGAAAATTATCCGTGCTATTCGCAGATTTTCCAGAGATAGGAAGAGAAATTTTCTCGAGTGTTTGGCAAAAAGTGTAAAAGACAATAACAAACATCTTTATTGAATTCGAAGAACTTATTGACAAGTAGGTTTTCTCTTAGAATGTAATTCTTCTTACTATATAATTCTTGTTACGATTTTTATTATTCTATCATTGTCTAAAACTTTTTGCGAGCGTATGATTAAAATAATTTCTTCTTCCTCTATGCTTTTAAGTTTAAAAACATTATTTTATTTTAAATGTACACACAATTTGTGCAAAAATTCAGTTTTACTGTGGAACAAGATACTCTCGGATGTCGATAATCAATCGCATCAACAAGAAATTCATTTCGATCAACCTTTTACGTTCAAATTCTTGTAATTATTAATCATATAATTACAAGATATTATATTTATGCAGTTATTATATATAATTTTGATCGTAATAATATAATATGCCTTTATATGTGAAATAATAGAGCAGACAACATATTAAATTGTATCAAAAAGCAATGAAAAGTATAATTAAAACAAATAAATTATAGTTAAAATAGAAATTCAACATTCATCATTTTGCGACGTCTCTGATAATATAAAAATTTTCGAGTCTCTAGAAATTTTCTATCCAAACCGATAAATTTTATAATAATTAATATATTTAAAAAATTCTATGATAGATAAGATATTGCTGTAACAATAATCGATCATGCACCAGATTCGCGCAGCGACAAAATCAAATGACCCGCAACACGATTTGCCGTCGATAGAAATAAATAGATTATATATAATGTATCTCTCAATGCAAAATCTATTCTTATGATAAGTACTAAATATATTATTAATTGCTACTTACCTATATCGTTGTACTCAGGTCACGATCGTCCTTCCTCGGATCTCGCTTCTCCTTCGATGAATCTTCAATCTCCGTCGCCTCCGTCTCGATGAACCTCGGACTTTGTGCTCTGACTGACGACGGATGTAAGCTCGATGAGAATTTGGTGCGTCTCGCTTTGGCCGAACTCGCGCACTTATATGCGTGCCATGCTGCCGAACGCGCACTTATTATTAATTATACACTGCGTATTGTTGCTGAACGCGCACTCACTATATGTGTACTGCCGAATACGCATTCATTCATTGTGCGTGCTACCGAACGCGCACTTACTAATCTTACTATATGCGTGCTGCTCGAATGCTTAATCGAAGAAGTTCGATAATTTCGAAAAGCTCGCGGCGCCGAGCGCGCGCCACGCAGTACCATCCACACGCCGTGCCAATTCCCTACTGCTGAGCGCCGCGCGCCTCGCCAGCGCGCCGCGGCCGTCGAGCCGCCGAGCCCGGCCTCCCCACGCGCATGCGCGCGCTGCGCGCCTCGCCGCTCGCCGCGATGTTAATTCAATTGTATGGAATTTTGAAGGAATAATTACACCGATATTAAGCATATCGTATATTGTTCTGCGTGCTCTCCGGAAATAACGAGTGACGACAATATCGTAGAAACAGAGACCCACATATGATTTATTATACATATAATTTAATTTTGAACGAGAGAGAAATCGGTGGGTTCCTTTTTTCTCTGTTGCACGGCTAGGATAAAAAATCGTAATTGCTTGCTGCTGATTATTACAAACTTCTGATTCACATTACGGTAATCTAACAGATAATTTAATACGCGAAATGGGCAAAACAATCCCGTAATTATCTGTAAACTGTAAAATAATTTGATCGCTTAAATTACCCTTAGCCGATTTCTCTCGCTGTATATCTCGCTGATAATTTAAACAGTTCAGGGGTTAGTAAATAACTGACACAACTTATTTAAAATAACAAATATAAAATAAATTTCAGAAACTTATTTAAAATAAAATATCGCAAGAGCCAGTAAAAAATTCATACAATAACTTATTTAAAATGAGAAATATAAAATATATTTTCCTAAAACGTATTTAAAATATTAAATAAGAAATAGATCAAAAGAAGCTATTTAGAATAATAATTTAGAATAATAAATAATTCTTTTAATTTTTTATTTAATGCTATGATTTGATCGACAATGTTATAAGATAGACGTGGTACGTAGTTCCTTTTTTGAAAACGTGGAGCGCTAGTGTACGGAGAAGAAAAGCCGGCGTGGTCTCTCTCACGCCTCTCTCTGCTCTCGCACTTCCGATTCACGTCGCTCTTTTTCAGACGAGCAAGATGGCTGATCAGGTATGCGCTCAACTCTGCGATCGTAAATAAATAGATTTCCTCGCTCATTAGAACGTTAATCTGTGAAAACGTGCTTTCGCGACGATTAACGTTAACTGATAAACGCGCGTGAGAAGTAAGATCGTAGGTTGAGACGCGTTTGGAGGAGTTAGAATGTCACTCGGCGTAGCACGTAGTTAGGTCGCCCTCGTGCGCGAACTTTCAGACACGGCGGAGTATGTACGGTGTCTCTCTGTAGAAATGACACGTAATCCGTGCGATTTCGTTTGTTGTAGACCGAGCGTGCGTTCCAGAAGCAGCCCACGATCTTTCTTAACCGTAAGAAAGGTCTGGGCCCGAAGCGCAGGAAGCCCATGAGATACAGCCGCAATGTCGGGCTTGGTTTCAAAACGCCTCGCGAAGTAAGTACAAACCCATTGTCTCCGATTGCTCTGATGTGTTTTTGGTCGATATTCTTAATGAGAGCGAACAGTTTTCATGCATTGTTAAGTTATTTCACATTCGGGTATAAGAAGCGTGTTGATGACTTGGCGAAGTATACGTCCAGATGAGAATTGCTGAATATTTAAAGATTGTGAAATATTATTCGAGTAGAATGTAATTTATTATTCGGATAAGCCGTATTTGCACATTAGATGTGGATTTAATTAAGATTGATTTATTATGATTTTTATGATTTAAAATTGATTTATACTTATTAATTTCATAACGCTTTATTTTTAATATGTTACCGTTATTGTGGTTATGAGTAAAATATTAAATGATGATAAACATTACAACGGTCTTCTGAAGATATATTGAAGATATTCTACATTCTTACGCGCTGAATGTTTTTACATTTATTTCTTTTCAGTAAAAGGTATACAAGACACCTCGTGTAATTGGCTGATTCAATCTTTGCAGGCTCTCGAGGGAACCTACATTGACAAGAAATGTCTCTTCACTGGCAATGTATCGATTAGAGGACGGTATTCTCACTGGCGTTGTACAAAAGATGAAGATGCAACGTACTATTAGTTATCCAGAGGGATTATTTGCATTATATTAGAAAGTACAATCGTTTTGAGAAGCGTCATCGCAATATGAGTGTCCATCTTAGTCCCTGTTTCAGGTAATGAATAACGGACAATGACAATTTTATTGGAGAAACCAAAATTCTTTTAATTTCTGCTTTTATGATGATAATTTATATCACGATGGTCTACTGACACATGCTTTGAGGAATAATTATATATCTGACAATGAGTTACACATTAATAATATTTGAAAAAAATCAGCAATTACTTTATTATTAATATTTATGAGCTTTGCATTGTGATTCCAGGGATGTTGAAATTGGTGATGTAGTCACTATTGGAGAGTGCAGACCTCTGAGCAAGACAGTAAGATTTAACGTATTGAAGGTATCGAAAGGAATAGGATCAAAGAAAAGCTTCAAGAAATTCTAAACATCTAACTTCTTTCCAACAATGGTTTGTGTAATATTCAGTACTTAATTTTTATATTACTATTATTTCGCAAATATATCAAAATTGATTTCAAATGATGATAACACGACGGTCTTCTGAAGATAAATTGAAGATATTTTATACTTTCTCAAGCACTGAATACTTTTGCGTTCAATTTTTTTAACTGAATGCAAACGTTATCTCATGTATTTTTAATGTTGTTTTAATTATTACAAAATCGTTTTTGGCAGATTTCAAGAATGAGGTAAGGAAAAAATTGTAAAACAACCAAATGTGACTATACAATCCTGTATTGTAATTCTCATATTCGAAATCTGGCAAAAAGAAAAAAAGAAAATTTCTATAAAAATATTGGAATCATGTATGATTTATGTGTTTTAATAATACTACATATAATTCTATAATTTTAGATATAGTATATCGAAATATGTATCTTGAAAGATATGTATGTTTCATTACATATCTTTCATATATCGTTTCTTCAACACATATTCTTAAATATTTTTTAGAAAATAATTTGCATGTTTAACATGTTTAATGAAGAACTTTATAAATTCCAATTATAAGAAACTCAATGAATCAAAGGAATCAATTTTTTTAATTATTTACACATTACAAATACAATTAGGAATCATTAAATAATGTGTCGCGTTCAGTTTTTAAAAATATATTTCAGTCATTTCAACAAGTATATAAAAATAATTTACATATATTGTAAATTGTAAAAATTTTTTATTTTTAGAAAGAAGACAATAGCATATTAATAAATATGCTGCATTTATGTTAATAGAGAGAATAGTTTGTTACAAAACAAATTAATATTTCTTATAATTATATAAATATTGTTGAAATAATCTGCAATATTAAATAGTTTAAATGGTTTTAATTATAAAAGTATGACAGATCCATTTTGTAGTATTTAGATCAACAATAGAGAATTCGAGTTATAAAGGCACTGTTCCTACATTTTCTAATGCTTTCTCTACTTTTTTCCTTTAACAATATCCAGTCATTTTTATTAGCCCAATTTTGTCAAAACTATCACAATTATGTTTATCAACTTGTTATACTATAGTAATGCAGTATAACAAGTTAATAATTTTTCTATATAAAAAGTAATAAACTTAATATACTATTATTGAATATATTAGAATTTAATTTCATATTAATAATAGTTATAGCACTTATAGCTTTGATAAAAAGATCTCACTCAAGAGGCAGTTCTTTGAACTGTTACATTGTTACGATACAAAAATAGGATAAGAAGATATATTCTTGGTACAACTGTACAAACTTGTAGCTTCAACTGCTACCGTCGTTGGCAAACATTTCTCTGTAGATCTATATAGTACATGAGAGAATAATCATACCTACGATAATTGGAAGATCTTACAAATTCAGTTTTTCATTCAACTTGGAAATTGTATCTGTACGCAGAATATATACTCTTATCCTCATGATTTTCTATCCTAATACATATCTTTATAGGGAATATCAATTGCTCACAGTTACGTTTGTTTTAACTGAATATTCCGTAATATAAAGTATATATATAATAGGCCCTGCGAAGCTCAACAGCAGCGAGAACACGAGCAGTTGCGTCCAGGACAGGCCCCAGTTGTCGCCGGAGCATTTGAACATGTCTGGCTCGCAGAATTCGGCCGTTCCCGCATTCTCGGCGTTGCCCTCGAGCAACACGTCGTGCTCCGTGTGCGAGATCTCGGGGCTATCGGCGCTGCTGTTGTAGGACGACAGAGGCTCGCACACCGAGTTCAGTATGATCGTGTTAATCTCCGTGTTCGAGGACTCGGTGCTCGTCGACGTGGCGCCCAGGTCTATCAGTTGCTCCTCCGTTCGCGCGGGCGCCTCCCCCTGACATTGCACCGACGTGGCGGTGGCGATAGCATTATCGCCCTGACTTTCAGGCGGCGTCTCGGTTAAAATAGAGAATGGTTGCACGGGAACCTTAATATAAGGCTTAGCATATATTTCATTCTCTTTGTCGATTTTATTAATTCGTTTCAATTCAGATATCTAAAATTATTGCGTAGAGTTGCGTATCACGAATTAAAGGCGTAAAGATAACGGAAATGATATCTTTGTGCATGCCGCATTGGCGTATCGCGATTTTCTTACTCACTGTACATCTGTAACGGAGAGCCAACGCCTGCAGGGTGTCCTCGGGTCTTATCTGCACGTTGATCACCTGAATCTTTCGACCCAACGACGCGGGTCGTTTGACGGTTTGCAACGAGATGTTATCCTCGTCCGCGCCACTCTCGTCGTCCGAGTGTAGGATCACGTAATGCGGGGAACTCTCTCTCCCACGTAAATGGATCATTTGCCTGGAGAATTTATTTTATTATTAAAAAAAGAGCTTCCCCATTTATGTCGTGCCTTACTCATGCCCCTACATTTTTTTTATGAGAAAGACATGTGTTTTTCGTAAAGAGACTTAATTATACTTAGACTTTTATTTTAATTAGACTTAATTATACTTATAATTACTACGACTGATCGTACTTGTAAATTTATTGCACACCGTGTGCTCGTGCATTTGTTACATGTTTGTGAATTTACATAAATAACAACGGCGACAGAATTGTCGCCGTAAATCGGGCAGATAACCTTGAAAAATTACCTAACGCCTTTCTGTTCCTCGAACATCGAATTCACCAATTTTTGCGGCATAATGCGATCATGCTTGGAATAATTTCACCGTTCCAATGAGAACGTTTATTCGCGTACGAGTGTTTCAGGAAGTGGGTACGCTGTTACAGGTGACAGATGGACGTGCATTTGCGAGAGGCATCGGGCCACGAAGCAGGAGTGACGGGATTAGGTTAGGACGGAACGAGCGAACGCACGACGCGTCTCTGGCCACTAGTGGAGATCGAGTGCTCCCCTAATCTGTCAGGATGATGCAATTTGAGGAAAAGGGCGAAACGTTGAAAGATAAATCCCGATGCGCGAACATCCGAGCCGATCTCAAAATG